AGAGGGGCGCGGGGGATCCGGGAGAAGGGGCTGCGAGCCGCCTGATTGACAGCCCGAAATCCGATCTTGTGAAAGAGACGCGGAGCCAATGGGAGGCAGCGATCCATCAGTTTGGATTGGAGGCCCCTGGAGGAGAAGTAGAGGAAAAACCACCGAATTGAGCTCTGTCAGAGGCGCTTTCGGCTTCCAAGGGGGAAGTGCAGGGCAGTAATTAATGTTTTTATTAAATTTGGAGGGAATTTTTTGCAGCAGTTCGCCTAGCGTGGCCTTCAGGTGGGTCTTTCCAGCAACTTTTTATGTCTCTCCAGATAATTGCATGGCTGTGGGTTGCAAAAACGGCCCTTAGGAGAGAGGTGCCTCCGTCTCGTTAGTCCCGTTAGGTGCAAAGCGCGTCTCGTGGATCGCCATTGCTAGTTTTGCACACGTTTGCGAACCAGAGCTGCCCGGGGTACGACCGACCGCGAAGGGAAACATCGAGAGTGTAAATAAATACATCGCCTCTAGTTCGGATTTTTGCTACAGCCGAAAATATGTTAATTGTAAACTCTCTCAGCTCTTTTTGGATCCAGGTGAAGGAGGCTGCTGTACTGAGGGTTATTTTTGTGAATGGGACAGTCGGAGGGTAATTAGCTATGCAAATTCAAGAGCTTCATTCATGATTTTTTTTTTTTTTTTTTTTTAGCCTAAAAGCCATCTTGTTCCCCTCTAGGTTGATAGAAGTCCAGATCCCGAGGAAATCTCCAGCTAAATGCTCAAAATATAAAACCCTGAGCTGAGATTTGCGAAGAGCAGCAGAATGGATGGATTTTATGACCAGCAAGTGCCTTACATGGTCACCAATGTGAGTGATCAGTTCGAGAGTTGCTGTTTATAAACTTGACTGGGGGTGGGGGGAAGGGAGGGGGCAAGGAGGTTGGGACTGCAGACACTTTATCTGCTTTGTTGCCACTGTAGGGCGACTCTGCTTCTAGAAGCCCAGTCTTCAAAATGAGCTTACCTTTCAGTGATTTGGATAAGGCATAGTTTTGTTTTTAAGACCCCTTTTTCTGATTAAAGGGCCCAAGATGAGTGGAGGCGGAGATGGAGGGCAGCAGCAGCTGCTGCACTCAAAGTTTTTGGCTGGGTTTGTCTGCCACATTGAAAGGAATGAAGTTGAGACAAATGCTGACACTTTTTGTTTACATGGGGTGTTTTTGTTTCTCCCCCCCCCCTCATTTTCTCTTATATTTTTCATTTCACCACTCTTCTTTTTTTTTTTTTTTTTTTTTTTTTT